TCCATAAATTTCTGACAAATAAAACATAGTGTATTGTGGGGTAATTTTGGTAAGTGAATAGAGTAAAACTTTGATATAATTGAAAGTATTTCAGTTTTGGATCTACATATCACCCCTAAATTTTCTGAGGATTGTATCAATAGAAGGTTTCCTGGCATTAGATTGGTTTGCTCAAACTGTGTTTAAAGAGGGAAAAAGCTCAATGCTTTGTAATGAATATAATCAATATCTGAAGAACTAAAATCTAACAGTGGAAAATGCATTTATGTAAAGTAACCAGTTTTATACTTTCCAGACACATATTTGGCAGGGTGTTATGGTTTTGTAAATAAGTAAATAAAATCCTTAAAGCAGTGGGTCCCAATTGGTATGCCACAAAGGATTAACAAAAGACCAAAACCATGGGGGAAAATGTTGTAGATCAGTTAGCTAGGTTTTTTTTAACCCATTGCTGCCAGGGAAAATGGACAAAAAATAGAGAAAATGATGTGCCTATTTTCTATACTTTTTTGTTAAATGTCTGCCCATAGATGGCTCTATTAGCGCCTGATTTGAAATGGTAGGAAAAACGTATTTTTCACTAGTGCCATGAATATCGATGGTTTGATTTTTATCATAAACATTATAATTTTTATAATGTTTTTTAACATTAGTAACAGCAAAATAAGGTAACGTAAAATATTTTGTAAATCAAAGAAAAGGATGAACGGGCGAGACAAGCGGTACTCGTAACTTGCTCATTGGTGATTTAGAACAAGTGTAGCCATCTATGTGTGAAAACAATCTAACAAGTAATCTCACAGTGGGCATGGCATGGCATGCCCGGTGGGAATGGGTTAACCCATTCGCCCAACGGGGCAAGAATAGATGCCATGCCCACTTTGATACACGTTTATTTATTGTATTTACGTAGATGGCTCTACAAGTTCTTAATTACCAAATAGCCAGTTATCAAGAACTACCTATTTCACCTGTTTACCCTTTTCCTTTACTTTAGGAAAGGTTTTTTTGTATCATTTCATTGTCTAAAATATTCTAATGACAATTTGATAATCATAACATCAATAACAATAATAACAGTATCGATAGTAATGGTATTGATTTTCCTGCCAATTCAGTGAATAGGAAAATCAGGATCAGTAACTAGGGCCTACTGATAGACTCCTTGCCGGCTGAGCACATGTGGAGCCATCTGTATGTTAAAAAAATTCACCAAAAACTACAGAGGACAGAACATAAATCCGGGGCGAAGGGGTTAATTGCTCATATTAAGAATGGATTAAGTAGTCTTCAAGGAATATTATATTGGGTAAAGATCTTTACCCAATATAATATTCCTTGAAGACTACTTAATGTCAAGTCTAGAATTATGTAGTTAAAAGAATTATAAAGGAAACTACTAAGATGGAAAAATGTAGTTTAATTTTCTTTTGTATCTTTTAAGATTCATTTTGTTTTTCTTGCTCCTGTCTTTTAATACTTTTTTCAGCATGTGGAGTAATGCATTGCAACATGAAAGAGAGGGGATTTGGTATCAAAAACAAGAAAGAAACAAAGAAACAAAGAAAAACAAAGTACACTGCCAGTAACTTATGAACCAGCAGGATTTTGGATGTGGATATTGTGATATATGGTTGTTTTATTCTAACATCATATACTTCAGTAACATGAGTATGCCAAACTATTACACAGCTGATATATATATTTTCCATATATCCAAGATTTTTCCCCATTTTTATCTTTCTTTTTTTATATTTCTCAGAATGTTGGTAATCTTGAAGAGTGTCTGATATAAAACATATAAAAGGAGCTTAAGAAACATAGGATTAGTTGGGCAAATCTCCAAAAAGAGTATTTACATTTCCAAGTGCAGAAATTAGAGTGCCCATATATTTTTTTTGCTTGTTGTCTCCATGATATTCAAATTGACTTTTATTGAAGAGCAAGCCTTGTTATAATTGTAGTTTTTGCTTTGCTTTTTTGTTTTATCTAGGTGATGGAAGGTGGTAAGTTTGTTGCAAGGAAAGGAGACTGTATATGGCTTTTACAAAATTCAGAGATTTTGAGGTTAGTATTGCCTACTGTGTATGGATCATTTATATATGTTCAGATGTAGATAGTTGTGTTTAGTGAAAAAATTTTGTAAATTATATCAGATTTACTTTGTCTTCCTCATCTTGGAGGAAATGTTTTAGCAAGATACTTTTCAGGCTTTACATCTAATGTATCATTAATTAATTACTAATAATGAAATACAAAGTTTTAAAGAGCTGCTGGCAGAGGTTACAGGAGTCAAGGTTATCCTGATCTGGAGAACTTCATTTCTTTGGGTCTGTTCCTAGCCTGAAATAAACAGTAAAGAGAGAAATAGGTCTCGTATGCTGGTGGTTCTGGCCAGAGTTTCCCCCCCCCCCCCCTTTTTTTTCTTTCTTTCTTTCATTGCTGTGTGTACAGGCGTATCCCACAGACCAGGCAGTTTGTTTTGTTACGCCAGTGCACGTGACCCATCTGTAGTGGGTTAAATCATCATCATTATCTTTTTATTGTATGATAAATGTATACTGTATTTCACCAGATATAGAAAAGCAAGAGGAGACCCATGACTGCAAATTCACCTGCCATGTGAGCACCTGCTATGACATTGTTACTCTTCCTGATGACCCTCACACATTTCTCACCTGTGGAGAAGATGGGACTGTGCGGTGGTTTGACTTGCGGGCAAAAGTTCAGTGCACAACGAGAAATTGTCAGGAGGTGGGACTTTTTTTCTTTTTCTTTAATCCTGTAGCTTAGTACTTATGTGTAAATTATATTTTCACTTGATTTTCTATAATAAACTGCATAACTGGTCCAAGCGTATGCTGAAAAATGAAGAGAAACACTCAGAAGAAAGCAGATTTAGCATTTGTGTAAAGAGAAATTTTCATAGGTTCCTCAGTAGGTATTTAACCCAGTCAGCACAGATGGCAAGAATAAATGCCATGCCTACTGTAATAAAAGTTTACTTATTGTATTTACACATAGATGGCTCTACAAGTGATTAGTCACCAAGGAGTCAGTTATTAGTCCTACCTATCTCACCTTGATTTTCCTTGATTTTAGAAAAGTTTCTTTTGTATTATTTCATTATCTTTAATGTTACCAAGACTTTAATAACAATTTAATAACCATAATGTCAGTAAGAATAATATCAATAGTATTATAAAGAAAAACATTGAGAATTGAGAAATCAGGATTAGTCACTAGGGTCTACTGCTAGACTCCTTGGTGGCTGAAAACATTTGGAGTCATCTGTATGTAACAAAATTCACAAGAAACTACAGGTGACATTACATAAATCTGTGGTAATTGGGTTAATGGAGTAGCAGGGAATGAAAGTTAAGGTAGTTATTGAGCCCTGTCTCATTCATGAAGCAAGTGTTTTTGTACCATCCTGCTAAAAATTGTATGATCAGATTAAACTTGTTTTGATTTACCAAAATTACAAACAAAGCCAGAATATGAACCCTAAAAGCTTGAGCCACCTCAGTTGCACCATCAAGCTGTGCTATCTCAGTTGAACGTCAGTGTTTTCAAAACTGGCAGGCTGTTTCCCACTTCTGCTTTGGTGTGAATGGGATATAGTGGGTGATAACTAGTTTAGTTGGTATTGTCTGGCATCTTTACATCTTTAGTGCCTCATAGAGCCATTTCCCCTTTTGCATATACCTTCTCCCTACTACATCGGTCTTTCTCTGTGTCCGTATGGCATTCTCCTCCATACCCTTCATGCAGCTATATCACAATGTGGCTACTTGAGCTGTAATTTTGTTTTTCTCTTAGTGTTTTGTATTGAAGGTGTAACTTTTTCATTTGTTTGGTAACTTTAACTTTCCAGCATGAACCATACATTATTTTGATGCGCTAAATCAAGGTCTTCAAATAGTAAGCTTTTTACCGCCCTTGAAACTCACATGTTTATAGATTTTTTGTGATTTTGAAATTTAAGTGGTAGAGTCAAAATTAATTTCAAAGACCAAGTTTTCTGATATTTTTCTCTCCATCTAGTCTATGTCTCTCAGATCTTCCTCCTTTGTTTTAGCCTTATATAAAACCTGTTGTAGGCATGAGACACCTCAGACAGACAGAATTCAGACCACATCTTTGGAAATTGCTTCTATAGCCTGCCCAAATCCTGTATTACCATGCAACCATATTAAAACTGCAACACTTTGGCTTGGTCTGAAACTTGTGCATCTCTCTGACACTGATTTATCCCATGGATCCAGGTGATGTTGATGTCAAGAGAAGGGTGATGGGAATTACTTTTCATGGAAAAAAAAAGCTGGCTAAGGGGCAGTGAGGGGAGCATCTCAATATAGGAAAATGTTGCTAATGGGGTAATGAGGATTTCTATTGTGAGTGTTCTAAGCACTGGGAGGGAGATTAATTTCAGGAAGGGGCTCATTTGCCAGCATTGCTACATACGGGTGAAGTTTACCATCCTTCAGCCTTACCAGGGAGAGGTCTGTCTTCAGGAAGAACACAATATCCATGCACAGTATCCTATTACTGCCCCAATCACTGGTGATATAGGGTGTTTTGGTAAATATAATAATATGAAAATAAGTTACAACAAATAACAGTTACTTATTGTTACAATATCCCAGATTGTAAATTACTTTGAGATAATATTTGCTCAAATGTCTCTTCTTGTCAAATCAAAGACATCAGGGGATTATTATAGGTATCTGAAGTGTCCATGACTTATGAAGCTGTACAAAATTAATAACATTATATTTGTTTTACTACTTATTATGAATTACAACAGGACAAGTCATGCTTCATAAATAGAGTATAGCATTCTTCATGCATCTGAATAAGTTATAGAATGTAAGGCATATACAGGAAGTCCACAAAATGTCTGAAAATGTCTTGGGGTATGTAACTGTAAGAGCAGTTTCCTAGCTAAAATGCTGCACTCTCTCTCTCTCACTCTTTTATCTTTCTTTCTTTCCTCT